ACACTAAGTATAGTATTGTAATGTATCAATCATATATATACGTATTTAAGTACATATAAATAGGCAGTATATATTATTATTATTATTGATTATTATTATTAATATCCGTGTCATTATTTACGCTTACTATAAAATATTATTAGGTATGAGATATAGTAGTAGTGGTTATCCGTACTTATCTTATCTTATATTACTCGTTTTACAAATATCAATTAAGGACTTGTGTAACCTTAAGTATGAGTATCACAACCGATTAGCGCGCGCTCGGAGACAAGTGGCTTCTGTTAGCTTCACAACGAGTTGAAACATCTTCGGACACGATTTCGGCACTCGGCATTTCTTGATGAGTTCGCACGCCCGCGGCTCCTCTCGCCCCTCCCCCGCCCACGCCTGTAACCTCGGACACTTCTGCGCTGCCTGTCTGGCTTCCCTGCCAGACCGAGCTTTGACGAGCTCCGTCGACTCCGCCTCACCTCCTATCACCCGCGCACTCTCAGTCCTTTCCTATCTTCTAGCTATTATCTGAGTCATGAACGCCTGCGAGTCGGTTATATGTCCTACACACCCACACCACATGGTCACTTGCACACACATCGACGTTGCACTGGCCCCCGTGCAGACTACTCTCAGTGTTGAACATTCCTTCCTAAGACATAGCAGCTTTGCGGCCATCGCTCACCTCTGGCACAGGCAGCTCATCTAACTATCTCTTATCTCTCACTCGAGATATTACTTCCTTGCGTGTGAACGACTCAAGGGCTGTCATCTTGACAATCAGCATTCCTTGGTATCGATTACAATCCGAGCTACTCTCACATCCGTGGCATCTACTTGACGCTTCTTGTTCGTCTCGCTCGTCTGCGCTGCGAAAGATATCATATATGAACGTCACCGATTCGTGCGATATCCCACCTACTATTATATAATCGCACGGCGGAGGAGAAAACGGGGATCGAGGATGTTTGCGAGCGAACGCGGTGCCTAGGACGTCGGCGGCGACTTCTCGTTCGTCGCAGCGCTTATTCGGCGACGGCTCTGGCGACGACGCTTAGAAGGAGAGAGGCGCAAGGAGAGCTCTGGCCAGCGACCAGGTGAATCTTCGTAAAAGCGCGAATAAAACGATATAAGCCAAAACGCTTTTATGCTGACGTCAGTGCCGCCGCAATCGATCGATTGCCGTGGCAGGGCAATTTTGACATTAATAATAACTGTAATATACTACAACGTTAAATAAGAAGTCAAACTTAATTAATTAACCTGGACAAATAATTACTAATAATACATGAGATGACAGATTCTTCTGTGTGTGTATATATTATCGGAATAAAAGTACAACCAACCGCCGAATTAGAATAGAAAGGAAAGACAAGAATAGACGAAAAAGCCAGAATAAAAATAGAAAAGCGGAAAAATGAGAGGAAAGAGACAGCTTGGGAAAAAGAAACACAAGACGCAGCAAGAGGACGATCGATGAGAGAGATGGAGAGAACGACGAGAAAGGGGGACAGAGCGGAGAAGAACGTGCAGGTTAAAAAGGAAAAAAAAGACCAGCTACGACAGACGCAGAACAAACACGATGGACGTTCACATCAAAGTGAGAAATTAGATGACATTGAACATAAGAACTCTGGCGATTCACGGAAAGAATCTTACACGAACGTCAGCTTCGTTTTTTTATTCTGCGCAGAGTGCCACTTGTCACGTCGAACTCGCGCTCCCATCTCCCTTCGCGCATTCGCTGTGCTATCAGCCTCGTTCACACCAAGACCTCGTATTTGTTGTAATACTGTATTGCGAAATACCGAAATTCGGAGACAAATACGCGCCGCCGAAAGCGTTCACACGGGTGATTTGCGGCTCCATAGAAATACCGTTATTTCTGCGAAGCTGGGCGAGTGAAACTGCTTTAACCAACAATCCACACCACACACCTCGCACACATCAAAACTGCAAGCCCGTACCATATGCGGCCGATAAAATAGCGTAGGACTGCGTGCCGCGCTCGTGACATGTTCCACCTCGGCGTACACTGGAACTGTCCAGCGCCGGACCGAGTCTATTAAAATCCGCGCTTCATTAAATTCCGGTATGTTAGCGTTCATCACGTCAGTGGAAGATCTGCGCGGTTCCAGAGAGAATCGGGTATTTCTTCCAAGCACGGCAATTATCGGTGGGTCTGGAAGTCCGACATATTTAGCATCAGATTATACCGCGATCTGTTCTTAAATACCGTGTTTCTGTACCTGTAGTAGTAGTAGTAGTAGTAGTAGTAGTAGTAGTAGTAGTAGTAGTAGTAGTAGTTGTAGTAGTAGTAGTAGTAACACTTATAGTATAGTATAGTAATGTATAATCATAGTATATACGTAGTTTATAGTAATAAAATTAGGAGTATATTATTATTATTATTATTATTATTAATTATTATTAATTATCGTGTCTATTATTACGTTACTATAAATATATTAGTATGAGAAGTAGTAGTAGTGGTTATCGTACTTATCGTACTTATATTATCGTTTTACAAAATCATTAGGACTTGTGTAACCTTAATATGAGTATCACAAGATTAGCTCGCTTGGAGACAAGCTCTGTTAGCTCACAACGAGTTGAAAATCTTCGACACGATTTGGCATCGGCATTTCTTGATGATTCGCACGCGCTTTGTGACACTCTGCGGGGTCTGGCCTGGACACTGAAGCGTCACGTTGCGCCACTTGTAGTCCTTCGGCTTGCAGAACGAACAGGACTTGAACGCCTGCGAGTCGTTAGCGAACAAACCGCGACGCGGTATGAAGACGAGTTGCACTGGCCGTAGCAGAACTTGTTGACGACTTCCTTTGTGATGCAGGCCTTGTGGCGCACCCTCTGGCACAGCAGCTCAGTCTTACACCAGTCCCTCTTCAGTTACTTCTTGCGTGTGACGATCAGGGCACGTCAACTTGACATCAGCGCTTGCGGGCCGGGAGACACTCGCATCTTTGTCCCATGCGCATACTTGACGCTCTTGTTCTCCTCGTAGCTGTCGAAAAGCGAGTCCGGATCCGACAGGTTCGAATCCGACGATTTTCGCACGGGGAGAAACGGGATCGAGATGTTTGCGAGCGACGCGTGTAGGACGTCGGCGGCGACCTTCTCGTCGTCGGCGCGCTTATTCGGCGACGGCTTGGCGACGACGCTTAGAAGGAGAGCGCACAGGAGACTGCCGGCCAGCGACAGGTGAATCTGTAAAACGCGAATGAACATAAACCAACGCTTTTATCTGACGTCAGTGCCGCCGCAACGACGACGTGCGGGCAATTTTGAATTAATAATAACTGATAATATACTAACTTAATAAGAGCAACTTAATTAATTAACTGAAAAATAAATTACTAATAATACATGAATGACAGATTCTCGGTATTGAATTAAACGAATAAAAGTACAAACGCGAATTAGAAAGAAAGAAAACAAAATAACGAAAAAGCCAGAAAAAATAGAGCGAAAAAGAGAGAAAGAGACAGTTGGGAAAAGAAACACAGAGAGAGAGAGAGAGAGAGAGAGAGAGAACGAGAGAAAGGGGGACAGACGGAGGAACGTGCAGGTAAAAAGGAAAAAAAGACAGACCGACAGACAGCGAGAACAAACACATGGACGTTCACATCAAAGGGAGATTAGATGACATGTCAGAGGCGATAGAAAGAATTACGAACGCACTCTGTTTTTTTTACTGCGCAAGCCACTGCAGAATCGCATTACTTGCATGCTGTCTATAGCCTCGTTCACACCAGACCTCGTATTTGTGAAATACGGTATTTGCGAAATACCGAATCTGAGACAAATACGCGGCCGAGCGTTCACACGGTGAGTTGCGGCTCCAGAAATACGGTATTTGCGAGCTGCGAGCTGCTTTAAACAATCAAGCGAACAATTCGAAATAAACAATGCAATGCGTACCAACTGCCGATAAAATACGTAGACTGGTCCGCGCT